CAAATTTCAAAATTGAAAATTTGTTGGAATCGGCCCTTTTAGTAGTGGTGAAGATTGACTGGTGAGTTGTTGGAAGTTTGACGGTAGATTTGGAATGAGTGATCTGGATGGTAGTGTAAAATGTGTCCCAGAAACTAGCCTGCAAAGCATCTGAAACACTTATAAGATTTGGTCCAATGCCTGGCCCTGACACTTGTGTGCACTTGAGATTGAATTTGGTCCACCCCTGGTGTACAGAGTGCTTCAGAGATTAGTTGTTCATTATACAAGGTGTTTGCTGTGGTGTGCATTCGTTACCAATCTGTTGCCTGAATGTGTATGTATGATCATCTATTGTATCTGTGACCAACTTTTATTTCCCGTGGTTATCCTGAGCTTTTACGCAAACCCTTTTCTTCACAGACCTACATTTATAGGGCTTGCTTTTTCAATATTTAGTAGGAGTTTTTTCCTTTTTGATGCTGAGAACACAGAGGGGAATTTTATCAGAACTGGAGCAGCTGTGCAGTGGCGTAACAACCGGGGGTGCAGCAGGGGCGCGGGCACCGGGCGAAAAGTGAAGGGGGGGCGCCAGCCGAAAATGGCACTTTCGGCTAAATGCCGAAAGTGACATTTTCCTGCCGTTTTGTCGGCGCGGCCGTGATTCCTTTCATCCCCGCTGGGACACAGAGCAGTGCCCAGCAGGGATGAAAGGAATCAGAGAGAAAATGACAGCCGGCCGAGCGCTGCGGGACGAGCGCTGTGAGCGGCCGGTGTCTTTCCTCCCACACCGCTCGGCCGCCTATCACAGTGCAGCAGAGCGGTGTGGGGGCGGAGACAGCCAGCGCTGTCACAGGAGGCTGGGCTCTCCTCTTGCAGCCTCCTATGACAGTGTGTGTCAGAGAGGAGAACGGGTACAAGCACTCAGTGATCAGTGATCGCTGAGTGTTTGTACATAATTGAGGACCTGGTATGTATACTATATCCTCAATTATGAATGAATGGGAGTGATCTACATCTCCTCCTGTTCATTCATAATTGTAGTTATAGTAAACATACCATGTTATCAATGAACAGGAACACTCATAAAGGATTCCTGTTCATTGATAACAGGGGACACAGAAAAAGAGATTGAGGACTCTGTGTCCTCAATCTCTTTTTCTATTTTTAAAGGGAAATATCAGGGGTCTGTTTAGACCCCCAATATTTCCCCGAAGCCCCTAAAAGTAAAGTAAAAAATAAAAATATTGAATAAAAAATTAATTAATAAATAAAAATTAATTTAAAAAAATGAAAAAGTTTCTAAAAAAATAAAATATTAAAATTTGAAAAATTAAAAGAAAAACGTGTGTGTGTGTGTGTGGGGGGGGAGAGGGGAGGTGCAGGGTACAGTTCCAGTGGTAGTTTATATAATGGGGGGGGGAAAAAAAAAATTTCTGCCCCGGGCGCCCAGAACTCTGGTTACGCCACTGCAGCTGTGCATAGCAACCAATCGGCATCTGTTTCATTCAAATCTTAACTGAACAAACTGAAGCGAGAAGCTGGTTGGTTGTCATGCACAACTGCTCCAGTTTTTGTCTGCTCCAGTTTTTGTGCTCAAGTTTTGATAAATTCCCCCCACAGTGTCTTGGAGTAGACCATGGCACTACTATAATTTGTAGATTTTTGCTCCCAGTTCATATAGTAACATAGGTGAGGCAAATGTCTACAAGGTTAACCTATTTTATACTTTTCAAATCGAAAAGCAAATGGCTGCAAACACGTATTTATGGACCTGCTAGAGTTATTTCTATATTGGAGTTGGAAGGAGGGCCAAACAGACGTTCTCTGGGCCAAAAATGTTTTACGTATTCCGCAAGAGAAAACAAGACTAAACACATTTCGTGTGCAAACTAATCCCCCTTTTATCAGGGATTTGGCACTTATCAGTGTCTACTGGGCCGGGAGCAAAACTCCTGTGCATCAGTCAAGACAAGGAGAATCGGTGAGTGGGCGCCTCTATCAGCGGTATTTGCTGCTCTGACACAGGTGCCCACTCGCCAAAGGAAATGCATTGACTGCCTCTAGTTTTGCTGTTGTGTAATCAAAACACTGGATTCAAAGGACATCCGGCTCCTTCTGACTCAAATATATATAGACCTCTTAGGTTGGGTGACCCTGTACCTGTGGGGGGGGGCTGCTTTGTGGAAAGCAACCAAGCCATTTGGCTTTATAAGGACCTTTTTCTATCAATTGGGGATCCGTATTTAGCGGCTCTCTTCCACCTTTCCTTAGGATTTCTAAATTTAGTTTAACCTGCCAGTGCTAGTACTGGGGACACATTCAACTGGACTTGATTAGTAATGTTGAAGTTTCGCTGCTTATCCAAGCATCTTCAGCTGTCAGTCAATTCACTGAAGCAGTCACGGTTCTGAATTTCGGCCAGTTTTAGGCAGCTGTGTTCCCAGTATCAGTTATTTATTTTATGGTCATTGATTCTATTAGCTGTCGCCACCTCCTTTTGGCAGGGGATTACAAAACCTGAAACACTCCCCATGTTACAATCTCTTAGCCCATGCTAATTTGGTTTCTCCTTGAGCATAATAATGGGGTGGTTGCCAAACTGAGCATTAGGCGTTGAAACCTCTGCCCATCCTCTATATTGTTTAGGAATACTAGAACCTGTTGCCCTCTTTGGTTCAGCCAGTAACTGGATGAACACGCCTATTGCTTTTCTTTCCATAGGAGAGGAAAAGGCGCCAGTATTGGGTTATCACCCAATTGGGAGCACTTGATAGTAATTCAGAAGGGTAACTCGTACATAGCCGCTTTAAGTGGCTGTTCCTCCCCCATGTCTGCTAACGGGTTGTCCTTTTGTGGAAACCTCTGTGTGCATAGAATTCCATGCAGTAGACATATGAGAGCAGATTGCTCAGTGAAGTGACTGCTTGCAGTCATGTCTGTCTGCCAAGTGTGCATGTATACTTATTAGTGGCTTGAACCTCCTCTCCAGCTCTGTGGACCAGTAAATTATAATCTGGATGCAAGTTTACAGAAGACTTGGTACAGTGGTGAAAGTAGAATCTCTTCCGGGGAGACCTCATGTAGCAGCGGCAGTGTTGCCTTCACTGGTTTCCCACAAATTCATTGCAACAGTTGGCACAGTCTCATCTGGAAGCAAAGTAATTACACAGTACCAGCTTAATTACTAGGCACGGTACTCCTGATCGGCAACCACTTTGTCACTGATGGGTGGAATAGCCTGTTGCCTAGAACACTCTGATCCCGAGGCCCTGTTTGTCTCTGTATAAAAATAGGACACGCACAGGGCATGTAGATTCCTAGAACCTCTGATTATGTTCTGATCAGAATTATACTTGCTAGATTTAGAGTAATGCTGCTTTTGTTGCTTAGAGCAGTGATTCCCATACTCCGGTTAGTTATAATTACCAGAACTTTGTTGATGATCTGCCAGTGTTCTGACCATAAGTATACTTGCACAATTCAGAGTAATGCTGCTTTTGTTGCTTTGTTGATCTTTGCTCTATCTGTTTGCCAGCTGTTTTGTCTTAAAAAAAAAAAAAAAGCCTGGCTGATATGTAAATGCCTTTTAGTTTTAACTATATCCCTTCAGAACATTGTTTTTTTAATTCAGCTACTGTAATTCCCCATAGTCTGTTTATATTGAGTTTGGCACATGCCTTCTGAGTTGAATTTGGGCCAGCAGTGACTTCTCTAACTGCTATGCAGGAGTTGGTGGCAACTGGAATAGCATAAGCGTGGGAGAGCTCCCCGGGTGGATGT